CCGTTTTTGCGCGCGCAGCCTTGGGTCCTCGTGCGCAGGGGAGGGGGGGGGGACGACTCAAGGGCCGCAACAACAGCAGGCCTTGGAGGCCACGGGTGATGTGTAGGCTCCCCACCACCACCTTCTTCTATCCCTGCATGTCTGGCATTAACATCTTTCACCTGCAGTTTGTGTTGCCCTGCTGCAACCATGGAAGAGATGTCCACCAAGCAAGGAGAAAGGGTGAGGCCAAGGACCAAAACACAGGAAGAATATGGGACTTAAAGGAAGAAGATAACTGGCATTATGCACAGGTTTGGGAGCAGAGGTGTAAGTTGACCCCTGGCCTTTTGCTCCTTTCAGAAATTTCTCTTTCAAGACAGGAGATGGAAACAGGAAGGAAGGAACAGCAAAAGGTCATGATAGGTTGGGGTGAAGCTTGGAGAGAAAATCACAGCACTGTCTCAGGGGACGGACACCACCATCAGCAAAGCTCCTTCTGGAAGACCAGATCTACGCTGCATATAATCAAGAAGATGACAGAGCTACCCACCATAGAGACACTGGTGCTCCAGCCTCTCAAACAGCTGGGCGCTCTGGTTGAGCTGTTCCCGAAAGCTCTCGGCTACATAATAATCCACTTCGCTGTCCTGCAGGAGCTCCTCAAAAGCTCTGATCAGATTGGACAGGTGTTGTCGGTAGGTGGCACAAATGCTATGGCTCTCGTGGATTTTCTGGCGCTGGCAGGACTGTTCGAGAGCTGACGGGCAGGTCGAGAAATCTTGCCTGCAAAACAGAAGCTGCAGCTGTAGCCAGGCTTTCTAAAACACCCCTTCCAACGTTACCTGCAGCTGCTTGACGGGGAAAACAAAATTCAGATTCCACCCCTTCCAGAATTACCAGGGGTTGTTTTAGTGCTCTCTGCAAAACTAGACTAAACGAAGAAATAAATCAATCCTTCAATTGATCACACCATCGTTGGATACCCTTTTCTTCCTGTATTGATCGTTCAGAGACAGGGATGCTCAGGAGCTCAACACCTGTTATGGAAGACGATACTTGTGTTTCCAAACCCATTTTCACTTCTCAGATCAGCTTGGCTAACATGAACCTAACCAAATGTGCTTTAACATAGAAATAAATTGAGAAAGGTTTCACGCTGTGGTTCAGGATTTTCCATTCCCTTACCTCTTTCGTATATTTCTGTACTTCATTTACAGAAACAGGGGGCTGTGTTCTTTTCCCCCTCATATCTTGTACTGTGACAAGTGCTAATAAAATTCTGATTTTCCCCCACTGGAAGATGCTGCACACCAAAAAAAGGCCTAACAGGGGAATAAACTGGATGGATAGATTGTTGGTAACTACTGTCCTCTCCCCCTCCCCAAAATGCAGCCGGGGCAACAGAGCTTCTGAGTTTTGACACTGGCACAAGAGATGCCCCAGCCAGCCATCTGAAAATTAGAAGCAATTCTTCTATTATATCCATGTTTTTTCGCAGGCGCTCTCAACCACAACCAGGCATCTCAGCTGGACCCACACCAAAAGCTGGGCCACAGCTGCCAATCATTCACAAAGAAGTGTGGGGCCCAGGGAAAAGTGCAAGCGGCCAGCTTCTTCCACTAATGTTGGGGTGTCGCATCCCTAGGCCCACAGGTTGCCCTGTTGTTTCTGAAATCGAATGCAAATGAGGTACATCTAATTCTGCTTTAAGGCTAGTCCAGTGGGTGAGCGTTGCCAGATGCTGTGTTCCCAAATGCCATTGTTGGCTCTCTTGGGTAGGATGTTAACGCTTCCACTGGTGTCCAAAATTTCCTGCAGAGTTTCACTGGATGACCCCTTTAGATTCTAGTTGAGTGCTCTTACCCCACCATGATTAAGAGCGCAGCCATCCACACACACACACCCGTGGCCCCCCAGCCTGTTAGTTTGATATGCTTGTTTGCAAATGTCTTGCTTATTTATCTATGAACTGTCTACATATGTCTTCCCTCGCAGTGCTACAGGATCAAAGCCCTCCCGAGAGAAATCAAGGTGGGCACTTTTGCGTCCAACTGAGGCCAACTTGGCCTCCTAGCGAGACTCCCAAGGAGGAGCAAGGCAGCCATATCGTCCTTCCCAACCCTTTCCCCAAAGTGGGCTGGCTGCTACTCACTCAGCCTGGGACACACTTTTCAGCTTGTTGTGCAGGCGGTAGACCTCATCCAGCAGCCGCATGTTGGCCATCTGCTCTTTCTCAAGCTCTGCCTCGTTTTCCGACAACAACTTTTTGAGTTTGTGTAGTTCAGTTGAGGGTCCAGACCCAGGAGTTGCAGGAACCTCAACGCGCTCCTTCGGCTGCAATATGTTGGAGTAGTCTGGTAATTCAGGACTGCTTCCTTTAGATCCTGCAGGAGAGGGACCCTCCCCATCGTTCTGACCCAGAAGAATACTGGGAGGAAGCTGTTCAGCCAGATCAAACTGGATCAGCAGCATTTGGTACTTTGCCACTTCGGACTTTAGGTCCTTGATTCTTTGCCTCAACTCCTCAACGTTGTCCACGGCTTCGCAGTCAAACACATCGACGCTTATCGTGCTTGGCTTAAGAGAAAGCAGACTCCTGCTATCCAAGGACGCGGTTGTTACGTCCCCATGCTGTTTCTCGGAGAAATCAGACGGGTGATTAAGCTCTTGCAAAGCAGATGGTTTCGACTCAGAGGTGTATCTTTCGGTTTCTGAAAAGGAAAGCGTGCACGCGAATGCATTTAAGCAAAGATGGACTTTGCCGGTGTTAAAAACACCGCGCGACAAGCCACGTTTGCCCTCCCATTCATCAGCAAACCATTTGCAACGACTCAGAGACTTCACTGCTTTAATCCGGCAGGAAGAATCAAGGTGGAAAAGCTCCATTTCCTGTAGCATAAATATGAATTACCATTCTGAAGACCCAGAGATGCATTTCTTTGAGATTCTTAAGTTTCAGATTTAGGTTCCTAAAACTAGTGATTCCTGCATTCCAGCAATGAGGACATCATCTGACTTGTCTGTCAAACAGACTGTACCTCCCCCAAAACTGGTGATTTCAACCCACATCCCCAAACCCTACAGCTACTGGGTCTCGAATGGGGAGGAATTGGTTCTTCCTACGGATTGTTTCAGTATCTGAAAATCCAACAACTAGACCCAAATTATGTTTTGTGGAAGAAAGAAGGAACACAAATAATTTTACATTTCTTTATGTCTTAGATTTATATCCCAGCTTACCCCCAGGAGCTCAAAGCAGCATCTATCACATTTCTGCCACCAATTTTTTTCACCAGCACCAACCCTGGGCTATAAGCTCAACTAAGGGAGAATGAATGGCACAAACCCATTTAGTGAGTTTCCATCGTGGGGTGTAGGCTTCAACCTGTACCTTCCCAGTTCTAATCTGCCCCTTTAGACCACACTCGTTCTTAAAATAATCAAAATAAATCTTCACAGGCATATATAAAAAGCCCTAATTTTGCTGCAGTTTGTATGCAAGAACTCTTTCACTGCACTTCCTATTTATTATTCCGTTTTGCAATGGAAGAATTTATTGACGAAGCGAGTAATTTTGGAGGCCTCTCTGATCTCAAGGAAGAGGGAATTGAAGCTTTGTTACCAGATTCACACCATGATCATTAATCATATGTATCAACCGCATTAAGCTTTTCAGCTAGGTCCTGAAAAATTCAAACAGAGATGGGGAAGGCATTTTGTAGCTTCCAAAATGTGAGCTTGTTAGAAGGCATTGATCGCCATTTAAAAATAAAATTATAGATCAGAGAAATTTCATAGCTTCCGACTCAGAGGTAACCTATATCTCTAATTATACGTAAGCCATCTTTGTAAATCCCTCAAAAAGTGACACCTCAAAAAATTAATCTTCGGGAGCTGCTTTTCCAAACTACAAAAACAGTGGTCAGAGAAGAACAATTAATTCCAGCAAATGAACTATTAGACACAATATTTTAACAGCAGCATCAACACGGCTAACTCGTTTTTGCAAGTTGAGTATCCAACCGTGCAGGCTGCAAATTGCACCTGTACAAAATTGTATGAGCTGTAGAAATTCATAAAAGGGAAACCGTACCTAATTGGGTCCCTTCACTGATGCTCTGATCTTTGTCTCTTTGGCCAGAGCTCTGGATACTGGACAGGCTATCATCTGCTTCAGAGACCTCCGGTTTGATCGCCGACGCTTCTGGAGAAAAGGTAGGCAATATTTTGAGTTTAAGTGACCTGGAAACAGCCTGTTAGAAATGAAAATAAAATTTAACGAGCACTGCAAAATTCCTGACTTTCGTGAGACGTGTCTAATTTTTTTTTTAATTGTTCAAAACCTTTGGAGGAAGGTAAGATTTAAGCCCTCTTTGAGAAGCCATATATCTCACAGGAGTTTGGTCCAGAAGTTTAGAGCCAGTACGGAAAAGATCTTGTCCTACCCTAGGAGCTGAACAATGAACTGTAATGGAGCATTGTCACAAGGAAGCTTCTGGGCACCACCGTGGAGTTAGAAGAGAGTTACCAGGGGCAAAGGAGAAACGTTCTTACTAGAAAGGTCACTTATGGGCATTCGCATTTTAGAACATCTTGGAAGTCACACTGATGTGGCTGTGATTCAACACCTGAGCATCACTTCTGTGCATAGCAGCCACAGGTTCAGTCTCTGGAAACTCCAGGGGAGGATGGCTTGAAGCTCTCCAGAGGTACTACCAATCAGTGTTGAAAAATGGAGGGTTCATTTGCGGTGGAAGATGTGCAAAACAGTGAAGCAAGCCATCTTCAGATCAGTTTAAGGAGCAAAAGAGACACCTTCAGCCTTTAAGAGCTGTTGCATTTACAGTTTTTTAAGGGATGTTCTGCAAGGCATACGGTGCCTATTTTCCTCTTAACCCCTCTGAAAACACAACAAAGTCAGAAGGAAGGCCACAGTGGGTGCTGGGAGCGGTGGTGGCATGCAGGCCACCCAGCCTGAACTAGATGACCCAATTCTCCAACTCAGGGTAATGGAATTGTTGACATTCTAAACAATGGTGGTACGGTCGAATGCAGCCATTGGGTTCATTCATGTTCTGTGTAAATATCCAAGTCTAGAAAATAGGTCAACTCAGGGACCAGGTTGAGAGTGCTGTGTGAACAAAGACAAAGGGGTGTAGTGGACAGGTGTTCCACCACAATGACAACCCTTTCCTTAGACAACCCTGTTGTTTCTTAAGAGGACAGAAGCTACTGCTGCAACTCCTATGAAGCCCCTGAACCTTGGTGGCACCCAACAGGGTCTGACTGTGAAGGAAGGAAGGCTTCAACTGACACCAAATTCTTGCAGGAGGCTGGAGCACAGCAGGAACAAGACACACACGTGTGCAAATTTTCACCACTGAGAAAATGTTAATACCCATTGCTGGTACATCATCTCTAATCTCGTGGGTTCCCCAATGAACTTTCTGCATGGATCAAGTGGTACATAAGAGAATAAGTCCTATTAAAAAAAGCCTTGCTGGATACCAAATAACATTTTATGGAGACACTTGTTTGCAGGGAGACAGATCAAGTAGATCATTTCAACGCCGCAGATGGGGGTGAGCAGGAAAGATTTAATGTCTCTCTGTGCTCAGAGAAACGCAGCTGCTGCACACCAGGATGGAGGCTGGATTACATTTGGGGGTACTTGGGCTAGCATTTTTAAGTGGGGTGTAACTTCCTCGTGCAGCTGTAAGTCTGGCAGTGTCCCCCACCCCCTTTGCTAGGCCTGGTAACCAATTTTGCAAGCCAACACTAATAGCATTTCTCGGACGTTAGCTGGCAGGCTGACAACAGACAGCTGTTTCGCACTTGCAGAAATCTGTGCACGCCACCATGCCTCTTTTCTGCTTTGCAACTGCTTCTCTCCTTTGTGACACGTTTTAATTGAGAAGGCTGAGCCAAGAAATTAGTCGGGGAACAGCTTTGCTTGCAGAACAGGAGATCTGGAGCACAACTGCTCTCTGCCTAGTAGGGGGAACAGGCAGCCCTCAGCCTCGTCCAATGGCATTTAGATCATTTGCAAGAGGGGGTGTTCAGGGAGAAGAAGGGAGCGAAGGGGTCAGAAGACGACGGGGAAAGGGATGCTGAAAAGGCAGTGAGTGGAAGCCTCTGCCCACTTCGGGCCCTGCTCCCTCATTGCATGCTTCAGCCCTCCCCTCTGGACTGCCTTCAGAGACTGAGCACAGAGCTCAGGCCTCCAGCTGAGCATCTGCGCCTTTGTTCCACAAAGCCAAGTCCTTTCTGGGTCTGGCTGCAGAATTCATACCAGACATCATCTCGTAAGTTCAAAGGAAAGGAAGAGGAGAAATTCTGATTGGGCTCGTTGCACGATTCCTCAATTTACCTGCTTGTCTGTCTTCTCCTAATACCTCCTTCCGATTGGACCCATCCCTATCGTCCTCATTTTGCTGGGATTCCTCACTACATTGCCTTCCCTTCAGGCCTTCGTCCAGAGCGAACATGCAGTGCTGAAGATGCAGATCTGGTCTGGGCAGGGCAGTACTTAAGGAGATGCTTCCCAGGGATCTTGAGGGTTTCAGTAGAATAGGTAAGCGGGATTTCTTGGACGGGTAGCAAGAGTCACTCTGGATGAAACACAAGACAGGAAAGAATTAAATGGAGCAGCAGTAAAGACCAGAATGAGAATATAACCGATCCGCAGTCTGATATAATCCAATCCAACTATGGGATCCTTGCAGACAAAGCTGAAAAGGAGAAAAATGGGACACATTTTGGGTCCTGGGGTGTGGGTCGGGGAAGACATACCCCAACTGAAAAAGAAAAAAAAAATCAGTCATGCAATGCTACAAAATAGGGCAAAAATATTTACCCATTCACTCTGATTTGGTTTTCTAATGTTAGATGGCCAGATTTCATTAGCTTCATGGCTGGATCATGGAGCTGGCAAGCAGCCTCTTGAGAGGAGCAATGAAATCAGGTAAAAGAGTCAATATAGAGCTAGGCGGCCTTATAAATTTAATGTAATAAAATTAAATAAAAAATATATAATGAGACAAGGCAGCAAAAGGGGGTGGGGTGCCCTTTGGAAAATGTTTTAGCCCTTCTTGCCTTATATTCTCAGGTCCTAAAAACATTTGGTGCAAAATTGGTTCATCTCATAGGGAAGGAAGAACCCATGAGCGGGCTAAGCAGCTTCTCTAATGGTGATAAAAATTACCCCAATTGGACTGGAGGATGTGGAACAGTCAGCTTAACAAACTGGATTTCTATCGATTTTAAAATGTAATTCTGATCCTTTCTTCTCAATGAACCCTTGCAAGTTCAGAAAGATTTAAAAAAAAAAAAAAGATAAGGAAGCACGTCTACACACCATGCATCATTAACTTAAGAAATTGTCACTGAATGTTGCGATAACTATGAACATTACTGGTTATTTCTGTGCATTAAGCATATTCAGGAACAATGGTCTACCAAGGACTTATTAGCTGTAATGGTGAATAACGACAAAAGCACCATATCTAGAGGCAATATTAGTCCAACTGCCTAAGAATTC